ATTATAGTTTAAAATTGCTTTTTTGTGCAGTTTAATATCTAAGTTTGACTTTTACCAACATACAACATGTTTTTTGCATATTTTGTTTCAATTGGTGTAGGGGGATTCCCGCCAATACACCTTGATATAAAATTGGATCAAAATCTATTAATTCTTTCCTAAGTTCGCGGCTACCAAGCTTGGCATGTGCAAAACTGTTACACCTTTGCTGTGACCTTTAAAATGACCTCAAGGTCACTAAGTTCAAGTGGAGTCGGTAAATCTCGTCAATAAACCTTGGTACCAAATTTGAACAAAATCCATCATTTCTTTCTCGAGTTCTTTCAGTAAACCGAAGGGGGAGTCATTTGAACAAGCGATTGTAGTTTCAAATTGCCTTTAATATATAAGTTTGATTCTAGCCGACCTCTACCAATCTCAAACATACAAAAATGTTTCTTGCATATTTTGTTTCCTGAAGTTTAATTTGTGATGCATTTTATTGCTAGTCAGCTAGGATATTCCATTTGTCCGAACCACAACATACGGAGACAGATCATTTAGCAGACTGGGTGCTGTACTCTGGAATTGATTACCTGAAAATGTCAGAAAATCGGAAAATATGAACAGTTTCCGATCTTGACGCAAAACCATCCTCTTCAAACGAGCATTCGACTAAGCGCACATGAGCAGGACTCTGGATATGTAGCGCTATACAAATGTCTAATTTGATTTGATTTGATTTGATATACCCGTTAGAAACCCACCCCACCCCCCAACCCACTTTATATTTATACATATCAAAACCTCAAAAGATATTTGCGAAAAGACATGATACAGAGGACAGTAAGAGATTTTATATCGATTATATACTCTCCCAAAAAAGAAACGTATATAAGAATTTACTGTATTTTTATGTTTATTTTGAAACATCTTGTAGGCTTTATGAGTCAATGAAATAGAGCGAAATTGCACACTGGGAATGCAGACTTATCCGTCTTTGGCACCAACTCGAGGAAAGTCAGTTTGAGTGTCACATGGAGACGTGTGGTGGCGCTGAAGTCAATACCTCGTGTGACCACCGTGGGCATCCAGAACTGCACGGCATCGCCTCGGCATCGAACGAATAAGTCTCAGAATCTCGTGTTGCCCAATCGCAGCCCACTCTGCCTGTAGTGCCCGTGCGAGTTGCTGAAGTGTCTGGGGCTGAGGGTTACGGCGTCGCACCCGTCTGTCCAGGGCATACCACAGATGTTCGATCGGGTTTAAGTCCGGTGATCTTGAGGGCCAGGGGAGCACATTGATGTTGTGGTTCTGGAGGAAGTCTCTAGTGTGACGTGTTGTGTGGGGCCTGGCATTGTCCTGTTGAAACAACTCCCTCTGGCGATCAATGATTGGAAGGAGGTGTGGGCGTAGGATTTCGTCACAGTACCGTTGAGCTGTCAGGTTGCCCTGGATCATCACCAAATCACTTCTCCTACGGCAGGTGATCGCTCCCCACATCATAACACTGTCCCGGCCGAATCTGTCCACCTGGGGAATGCAAGCGTCGGCGAAACGTTCACGTCGACGTCTGTACATCCGCATTCTTCCATCGCGTCGTTCCAATAGAAATCGTGATTCATCACTGAACCAGATTCTACGCCAATTCGGTAGGTTCCAGGCCTGAACGTTGGTGCACCATTGAACTCGATGTCGACGATGTTGTTGTCGAAGCACAGGGCCAAAATAATGTCTTCTGGCATGTAAACCAGCCTCTCTCAACCTGTTTCTGACGGTCTGTGTAGAAAGCCTCCTCAATCCGGGTATTTGTCGAGCGGTACTGGTCGCCGTAGCTGTTCGATGACGCAGGTGATGTACCGGATGTAGCGATCCTGCGCCGCAGTGGTCGCTCGAGGTCGCCCACTACGAGGGGCATCTGCTACCGCATTCTGCCGGCGATATTTCTCCCAGAGCCGTGAAATGGTGCTTTGGTGAACATTCATGCGTCGGACAACTGCACGTTGAGACTGGCCAGCTTCAAGCAAACCAATGGCGATATGACGGTTGGCTTCACTTAGACGTGGCACTTTGCGTTCGTCAACAATATTCCAAATACAGTGAATAATCGACAGACAGCGATCAACCTTTTATACCCATCATTGAGACTATCTGATCCCCAACTTTCACGTGCATTGCATGTGAATTGTGTATTTTGTGACACTACACGCAGAAATTGAAAATCATGCTGTTACATACGAGTATTTTACGGATGGTGCGTTTTGTTGTGATGTTTCAAAACATAAACACCATAGGACTCATAAACAGAGCAAAACCTTTTGTAAAATGAATCACGTTTTAATTCATTGCTACATGAAATTGCTATTTTCATGATGCGTTTCTTTTTTGGGAGAGTATATATCAGGACGAATATCATTTTCGTCATTTGGCTAAGATTTGTCAAGTCTTTCTTGGGTTATCGCGCTAACAATCTTTATATTGGCAAAACCCTCAGATTTTTGCTGTGAACTTGAAAATTATCTCAAGGTCACTCCATTTCACTTGTGTCGGTGAATCTCGCCAATATACCTTGGTACCAAATTTGAACAAAATCCATCATTTCCTTCTTGAGTTATCGCGCTAACAAGCTTATTTGATGTATGAAATGCAACGAAAAACTAACACCCGCGTATTTACGAGTGATTAAAACTGTTATTACAATTTACGTTAATATTTATTACATTTTACCGCAACGAAAATTATCACAATTTACGTCAATTTTTATTACAATTTGCGTATTACAATTGACGTCAATTTTTATTACAATTTACGTTTTTATTACAATTTACGTCAAGTTTATTACAATTTGCTGCAAGTATTACAATTTGCGTTTTTATTACAATTTACGTCGTAACACCCCTTATTGCATTCGAAAGATTCGGTGGAGACAGTGTCATAGTGTGGTGTGATATATCCAGCACATAAAGATCTGATTTAGTGGTGGCTCAGTAAATCGGTATTTCAACGAGGTCCTTGCACGTTACATACTTCCAATTATGAACCGACAGAGGGAGTTGTTCCAGCATGACAACGCTACTTCACATACAGCACGCGTCACTGTCCGCTACTTTGCCAATTCTAACGTCAATGTTTTGCCACGGCATTCCCAATCACCAGATCTAAACCCGATAGAACACCTATGGGATATAATTCGATCGATGTGTACGTGCACGTCAACACACGCCTCATACACTTCCACAACTGGCCATCGCATTGCAGGAAGAGTGGGGATGAATTCCAGAAGAGTGACTTCGTCGACTTATGCAGTCTGTGCCGAGACTGTGCCGAGCAATCAGTGCTGCCAGTGATGACCATATAAAGTACTGACTTTGACGCCATCTTGTGGACTCCAGTAAACAGAAACAATAAAGGCTGCTGTTGTGTTAGTGAACTCTTTATCTATAGATGTGTGAATTTTCACCGTTTTACCATTGATATTACATGAAATAATTGTTCTTCAATATGGAACAAGTTTTTATGGATAACAACTTCTTTATTTCGTGAGTGCGACGTTTCGATACAGATTCTTGTACCGTTGTCAAGCAAGAATCTGTATCGAAACGTCGCACTCACGAAATAAAGAAGTTGTTATCCATAAAAACTTGTTCCATATTGTACGTCTCAACTTCTAAAATGCCACTCAAACAAGTTAATTGTTCTTCATCTAACACAATAAATTCTTCTAAAAATGTCTTATGCGTTTCTTTTTGTGAAGAATGTATCTTTTCTCTTTTTTTGGATGATTCGTCATCCTTTGCTACTGAACTAAGTTTTTCAGGTTCCTTAGAGACAACAATTTCTTTATCAGTTTCATTTGGGACATATTTAAAATCTTTTTGTACGTATTTGAGGTTACCTGTTATATCACATAAACGTATTTGTAAAATAATAATTATCATCTCCCCTTAAATGCCAATACAGTGATATATCACCCCACTGACATCTTGAAAATGTTCAGAAAACTAGTAGTAGTTTAAACATCACATCTGAAGAAAAGAATACTTGATAGTTAGTGGTAATGCTGTATAGCAAATTGGATGACGAGTTTAGGTTGACCGTAAATCGTTCACCAACAGAAAATGAAATCGTTCACCATGACCAATTGTCTGGGTTCTTAAATCGTTCACTAACAGTTTGATGGTGTTGGTCTTTCGAGGATGAAAGCTCGAAAACGGCACAGCACTAAGTATTCACATTTGGCACAAAGATAGTTCGATAATTACTCTTTAGTCTCTAAATGTTGGTGTATTTTTTTTTCATTTATACAGCAATGATACCTTAAATTTTGATATATTTATGCATCTTTACGCAAACGGAGCCGAAGCTAGACAATGTTGTACAGGCTCATGGGCTTGTATCATGACGGAATGGAACGATATTTGGTGGAATTACGCACATGTTCTATTTTACAGCATGATTTTGGGGGACAGTATGGCCTATACATATACAGATATTGACAATTTTCCTACACCTAAAAATAAAACCTGCATTCCTCTCGCGTGATAAATCGTTCACTCCCTGCTATGAAATATTTCCTGCCGTTCACTGCTCCTACGGTGTGATTATGCCGATACGGCTTAAACCTACATTCACTCACTCCTTACCTTTAAAGGTACAGCTCGCCACAGCAATATGTTTTCCCGTTTCACGATATTATATGCAGTAACAACACTTTCCGGTGGCCCTTTTGAACACCATACCATCCAACGGGGACATGAGTGAGTGAATGATTTTATGCACACACACGCGCACGCACGCACGCATGCACGCACACACACACACACACACACGATATTGTGCTGGAACTTCCTTGCTTATGGTATTTAACATTTCACGGCATCCGGTCGAACTGGGAAGGGGAATACATGTAAATCTTTGTGGGTCCAATATTTACAAGTGGCTTGACCAGATATATTCTTGACACTATAAGTAAGTGAATGTGTTTATTTTTACGCCGTGACTAACACCAGATAAGGGTTTACCTCTGTGGAATATGTAGTAAAGTAACTCCAGGTTGATTTGTTAGGAAACCAATTTCTGTCTCCCACCAAGATGTTTCTACTTTGTCATTAAACCAGGTGTTACTCTGGTAGCACAGCTTCCGGCACACACACACACACACACACACACACACACACACACACACACACACACACACACACACATTCACATACACATACCTACATACGTACATACGTACGTACATACATACATACATACATACATACATACATACATACGTACATACACACACGTACATACGTACGTACATACATACATACATACATACATACATACATACATACACATACATACATACATACATACATACATACATACATATATACATACATACATACATCGTGACTTACCTCATGGAACACTGATGCGCATGTCAGGTTGTAGAAGCAGGTGTTCAGGTGTTCAGCACAGTGAGCGGCTGACAACGAGGTTTCGGGGTGAAGGTCAGGAGACAGAAGGTTGTGCATAAGGATCGTCACATACAAAGCAGCTTCCATGACCATGTGAGGGGCACTTGACGCACTGAGACATCAATGTATCCTGAAAGTGTTAAAACTAAACAGTAAAATCGAAAGTTGGTAAATTTAGATTAAAATTTGAATTAAAGGGGAAGTGTACATGAAAGAAAGTATAGACTGACTAATAATAATAAATATATATTTATATAGCGCTTATTTCCAGTTAGGTTAAACTGCTCAAAAGCGCTTTTGGGCAATGAATTGTCATGGGAAGATGTACAACAGTGAGTCTTTAAATACGGGGAGTTTGCAGTTCAGGCGTAACATGAGGTGAGAAGGTAGGTTTTCAGGTGTCATTTGAATGTTTCTATGTTCTGAGAAGATCGTAATTCAAAAGGGAGAGAATTCCAGGGGCCGTGGAAGTTTCTATTTCCAAAAGACTGACTGACTGACTGAGTTTGGTTTTACGCCGCTTTTAGCAATATTCCAGAAACATCACGGCGGGGGACACCCGAAATGGGCTTTACACAATGTACCCATGTGGGGATTCGAACCCGGGTCTTCGGCGTGACGAGCCAACGCTTTAACCACTAGGCTACCCCACCGCCCTATTTCCAAAAGATGTTCGGGCGGAGGAAACTGTCAGTAGGAGTTGGCTATCGGATCGCAAAGATCTTGCAGGTTGTTTTTAAGCTCGTTGAGATAGGGATGGGTCTCAGAGTGGTATCCACGGAAAGTTAGAGTCAAGTTTTGAACTTGATTCTGTCTACAATCTTGAGCCAATGTACAATGTAGCTTCTTCAGTACAGGGGTGTTACCACGTAAATTGTAATAAAAACGCAAATTGTAATACTTGCAGCAAATTGTAATAAACTTGACGTAAATTGTAATAAAAACGTAAATTGTAATAAAAATTGACGTAAATTGTAATACGCAAATTGTAATAAAACTTGACGTAAATTGTAATAATTTTCGTTGCGGTAAAATGTAATAAATATTTACGTAAATTGTATTAACAGTTTTAATCATTCGTAAATACGCGGGTGTTTGTTTTTCGTTGCATTTCATACATCAAATAAGCTTGTTAGCGCGATAACTCAAGAAGGAAATGATGGATTTTGTTCAAATTTGGTACCAAGGTATATTGGCGAGATTCACCGACACAAGTGAAATGGAGTGACCTTGAGATAATTTTCAAGGTCACAGCAAAAATCTGAGGGTTTTGCCAATATAAAGATTGTTAGCGCGATAACCCAAGAATGAATTGACAAATCTTAGCTAAATGACGAAAATGATATTCGTCCTGATATATAATCGATATAAACTGTCCTCTGTATCATGTCTTTTCGCAAATATCTTTTGAGGTTTTGATATGTATACATATAAAGTGGGGGTGGGTTTCTAACGGGTATATCTAACACACTTGCATGCATGTAGAGTCGGAGAGGTGGGTAGGTGTTCTAACGGGTACAACTACGAGGGGCGTTCAAATCGTAGTCAGCCTCACCTAGAATATGATACAAATGCAGCTGTTTTTATGTTTTATTTTTCTACATATTATCTGTCAGCCTCAAGCAAATTGGTTTTGCTATGTTGCAGCCTCACGATCCCATTTTGTGAGACTTTGTATCTTGGCTTGGTACTCCCAAAAAACGTAAAATCTGCAATAAAATGCATCACAAACTTCAGGAAACAAAATATGCTATGTTTGAGATTGGTAGAAGTCGTCTAGAATCAAACTTAGATACCAAACTGCACAAAAAAGCAATTTGAAACTACAATCGCTTGTTCAAATGACTCCCCCTTCGGTTTACTGAAAGAACTCGAGAAAGAAATGATGGATTTTGTTCAAATTTGGTACCAAGGTTTATTGACTGGAGATTGGAGATTTACCGACACCACTTAAAGTTAGTGACCTTGAGGTCATTTTAAAGGTCACAGCGAAGGTGTAACAGTTTTGCACATGCCAAGCTTGGTAGCCACGAACTCAGGAAAGAATTAATAGATTTTGATCCAATTTTATATCAAGGTGTATTGGCGGGATTCCCCCAACACCAATTGATTGGGAAACTTGCGCTCATTTAAAGTTCACAGTGAAAAGTGTTTTGCACATGTCTAACTTTTTAGTGCGAAAATACAAGACAGAATTAATATGTTTTGCTTAAAGGTAGTACCAACATGCGTTGGGAGTATCGTCTAACGCCAGTCGAATTCAGTGACCTTCGGGTTATTTTCAAGGTCACAGCGAGTATTCTTGGATATCTCCAAACCTAATGGATGGAATTTGTTCGCATTTTGTATCAAGGCATCAGATGACAGTTTCGGTAACGGTTACATAATTTTCAGGGTCAGACAGAGGATAATTGCTACATTCAGATATCGACATGTGGCGGGGGTAATAGCTATATGTTTGTGACAAACGCTTTGTCATTACTAATTTTCAAATTTTTGTTAGCATATGGTTTCTATAATTTCATGTTAATTCTACCAGCTGTGAAATTATTCGTGACACGTCTTAAAAAAGCCAGAGATTATTTGTGTATGTTTCGAAAATTAAAGTTAATAGTTTTCCATTATGGAGTTATTTTCGATGTTGACGCAAGGACATACGAGCAAGAGCTTTCAAAAATTTAATTTTATTTTGAAGTTCTTCATAGCATATCCCAAAATAACAGGATATTATTTGTTTACGCTTTGAAATGTACGTTTCTTTTTCTTCATTTTCGAATTATTTTCAATGTTGACGCAATGACATATTTGAAGTTAATTTAATGTTTTAATCATATGTGATTTATTATGATTTATGTTTCGATCATACATTTATATATTGCGTTGTCATAGTTTAACCTGCTTCGTATTATTTTCTTCATCATATTACTACATATTATTGTATTTTTATGAGAGGGAATTTTAAGTTACATTTGCTAAGGATATCATAAATCGCTGGCGCCTGGTTATTCCTTGCCACATAGCAGTCAGTCTGTCTCCACATTTGTTGTATTTGATTGATGCATTTAAAATAAAATGTGGAAATTATATTGAATTGCATCATTTGCTTCAAGGAATCGATCAGATGTGCTCGTTATCAAAGTAAAGTCAAAACTTCTTTCTGTAAGGTATACAGTGGAAGTTGACACCTAAATTGTTATGGGTAGACCAAAGAAATCATTTATTTAGTTTCACCGCTCAAAATACAACAAAGAATTCAACGGGTGGCATTACCCTCAAAGAATGATAATAACAATGCTTATAACATACGAGGGCAAATTTATCGGGGATAATTTGTTTTCATGCGATATGCACCGGGTAAAATATCACTTTGTCATGGTGACATGACATCATGAACAATATTATGACGTCACGTTGCTTCTAAATACAACGATGACGGGGAGCCTGCCTTTGTTGGAAAGTAGATTATCGCGCAATTTCCGCAATTAAAGACTTCGGTAATAAATAGAAAATTATATTCGTGACCATAATATGCTAGGTTAACGAGCTAAATATCGGCATATCCCTTCTCTGATTTCGAAATACCAAGATTTAGGCAGTTGTGTTGTAAACTGATATTTATCTTCTATAAAGTCGGCTATATTCAAACCATGAGAAATGTCGTCAAATAATGTCTGATGACAGTTACCAACGTCCCAATAGTGTCCATATATTTTAGAAATCTATAACAATAAAGCACAACCTCACTACTTTTTTTGATAAATGACAAAGGATTAATCAACCATATTAAAAGGTTTTCAGGCTTGAAGGACGAAGCTCATTAAAATCTATTGCCAGCTCCCTTTTAGAGACTGATAAAAGGTTCGAAAATGTGGGTCATAAATGCATGAAAGGTTTTATTGTTGTTCATACCCGTTAGGCCTCCCGCCTCTACATGTATTTGAGATATACCGGTAACCGTTAGAACCACCACCTCCCCCTCTATGTCCTAAAGTATGCTAGATATACCGTTAGAACACACCACACCACTTTTCTGCCCATTTATTCAATTGGGCTAAATCATAGTTGAGAGTTGCTTCTATGGATTTTACATATTTTCCCGCAACACCGACTGATGTGTCATCGGCCAACATTATTGTGATATGTTGTAAATTTCCAGGTAAATCATTGATATATACAAGGAACACAAATTAACCAAGGGCAGATCCTTGAGGAACCCCTGCAGTAACATTTAGTTTTTCATAATGTTCCATTAACAGAGACACACTGTCGTCCATCAGGGCCCGGTTGTTCAAAACTCGGTTATCTTTTAACCAGCCGTTAAGTACATTTAACCGACTGTTACCTAATAACAGAGGGTTATCTTGTTGTTCAAAACTCTGTTAACTTTTAACAGGCTGTTAACGTGCCGTTAAGTTAACACACCTAAGGACCGCCGCTAACTTTTTAACAGTGTGGTTAACTCGCAAATGGCGTTCATGGCTAACACTGCTTTCATGATGCCAGTTCAGCAAAGAAAGGATAGGGTGTATCGTGGACTGGACTTCGATATTGGAAATTATTCTGACGAAGAGTTACATACGAAAC